CTAGAAGCCAAGATGACAAAATTGAAATTGTTGTACTTCGGCCATATGAGGAGAAGACACGACTCTTTACAAAAGACAATAGTTTTTGATAAACTAGAAGGCAATAGGAAAGGAGAAAGACTGCATTCCAATGGATAGACTCAATCAAGAAAGTCAGACCTTGAGTCTGCGAGACCTGAGCAAGACGGCTGATGATAAGATGATTCGGAGGCCTCTTCTTTATGGAGTCGCCATAAGGAAAGAAGAAGCTAATAAATTATTGAGAAAGCTTCCAGAGTGCATGGGAAGAGCAGAAAGCATAGCAGTAATGCACTCTCTGCACTGCAGGAAAACGGTACAATCGCAAAATATTATTTAAAAAAATTAAATCAGTTACTATTCATAAAAATCAAAGAAAAATTGATAATAGGTCATTTCTCGGGTGCAGGGTTAAGACCCTTTTTGACTTTAAAAAAATCTGAATATTTTATTTCCCCTCATTCCCTATATTTTAGTGTAAATTAACTGGACCACGACAAAATGCATTACTTACAATGACAAAATCAAGTAGTTCAATTTAATGACTCTACTGCCCCCTAATGCCTTGATTGAAAAAAATATATAAGGAAAGATTCAATATTATAAACAGTGCTGCTTATATGACATTCTACCTAACTAACTATACCTTTTTGTTTTATGTTTGGAGATATTCTGGTGTAGGGAAAAGGCTAGAAAAATATTATTCTATAATATCTCAGCAATATCTCTAAAAGTAGCATAATAATGCTGCACAGTATACATAAGCACTTGGTTAAATAACTACAGGCAAACCCCAAGTTACGCACATGATGAATTTTGTAGGTTTATTCCCTTTTGAGAGGTAGATGTCTCTCACTTCCTGTTGTCTCATCCCATTTGTAAGAATAAGTTGTTTGTAACTTGGGGACTGCCTGTACAATGAAAAATGGAATGATTGTGGTCTTCCATATTCATAGTGTGATTTTGTATACAAATCGGTACAGTATATATCATAGAATCATAGAATCAAAGAGTTGGAAGAGACCTCATGGGCCAGCCAGTCCAACCCCCTGCCAAGAAGCAGGAATATTGCATTCAAATCACCCCTGGCAGATGGCCATCCAGCCTCTGTTAAAAAGCTTCCAAAGAAGGAGCCTCCACCACACCCAGGGCAGAGAGTTCCATATATGATCTATTAATTTTGAGAAAATAATCAATATTAGATATATGCCTTTCACAATATTCTGATTTGTTTTCCTGAATAACGTTGTGTTCCTTTTTGTTCTCATGTAGGTAAGATATCCAATTTCACTTTTAAAAAATTGCATTTGTTTCAGTGGATTCTTTGACACTGCCTATTAATGTAAACAGCAATTTCCTAAATATTGTAGTGCCTTTCCCTATAAAGTCTAGCAGAATCTATATTACTACAGATTTCAATCCCAGTCACACATTTTGTACAGATTTAACTTTTTTTTAATTTACCACTTTGTTTTTAAGAGCACTTTCATTTTATACAGGGTTCCTCTTAAAAAGTCTTTTTACTTATGAATAAATTAATTTAGATAATATTGTGCTATTTATTTTTTAAAGGATCAACCGCATGCACTCCTTGCACTAATTCCTGGGCAAAATGCTTAAGATTAAGTCAAGGGTTACTGACCTTCTAGCCCAGGCATGGGCAACCTAGGTCGAGGCCAGATACAGCCCTCTGGGTGCTTATTTCTGGCCCTCCAAATTTTCCCCATCCTCTGAGTGTAAGGATTCAGTGGCCCACCACATCCTTATGTTGAAAGAGCAGGGAAGGAAGGCATGCGGCACTTCGGATCCCTCTGGAATACTCTCAGTCACCTTGGGCCATCTTCCTGGGATAAGGATGGGGCAAGCAACTCCGTCCCAAGGCTGGGAGAAGCATGGCCCAGGAGTGGAGGCAGGATGGGTACCTCTGCCCACATCCTCACCCTTCTCCTGGATAAGGTGATGACCCGTCCTGATGCTGGAAAAAGCACGGCCTGGGGGAGGAGGCAGGAGGCAGCCAAGGGGGCTCCAAAGTCTCCTGCCGCTGCCTGCCTCATCATCCTTCTCCCGGAATCAGGATGAGGTGAGGCCACATCATGATGCTGGAAGAAGCACATCCTGGGGGGGGCCGGGGGAGGCAGCTGAGGGGGCTCCAAAGCCTCCTGCTTCCGCCTGCCTACGCACCCATCTCCTGGCATCAAGACATTATAAGGCGACATCCTGATGCCAGGAAAAGCATCACCGAGGGAAGAGGCAAGCGGTGGCTAAGGGGAACCAAAGACCCGCCCATGCTGGTTCTGCCTCTCCTGGTCCTGCCCTGCCCACAGCCCCTCCCTCCCTTCTCGCCCCTCCCTCCTGGCCCTAGGGCAACGCTGTCGCACCTCAGGGTAGAACCACCTTGCTTAAGACACCAAAGAACACACCAGCAGTTGTCTTAAAACTACAAAGACAATTGCTGGTGTGTTCTTTGGTGTCTTAAGCAAGGTGGTTCTACTCAAAGGTGCAACAGCATTTATTTTATTTAAAATAAAAGATAAAATGTTCAAAAAGCAAAAGTTTATTTCAAAAGATCAATCCAATGAAACACAGGCAAACAAGATCCATGAAGACACAGGCAAGGCAAAGTCCCTTAAGCGCATGACAAAGTCCTAYAACATGAACATGAAAAGCTACAAGATAAATCCCAAAGTCTCTTGGTTAAAGCGTGAAGTTGCTCTGACACTGAGGCACATTCAAACAGTCTGTTTAATACTCTTGGGCCAGCATGAAGGCATTCCTATGGCCTCGGGCCTCTCTCTCTCGCCTCCCCACGATCCTGACACTCCTTCGCACTTTCAATTCCAAGCAATCAGCCCTATCTAAATCACTGGCCCCATCAAGGTCAAATCCCTCGTTAGCTGGCTGAGAACTTTCCTCCCTTCCTACATCCTCCCTTCCTTCATCAGGCACCTGGKTCTCGCTCTCAGCAGTTTCACTTTCTCCAGCGTCTACCCTTGCTGTGGGAAACAACTGAACTTCTGCCCCCTGATCCTGGTCTTCCTCYTCTAACACAGGAACATCCTTGCTTCCCATCTGATCATCCCCATCAGGATCATTGATAGCATAACTCTGTGATTCCAGCGGAGTTACAACAAATGCGGTCCCAGGGCAAAAAAGTTTGCCCATGCCTGCTCTAGCCAGTTACATGACTAGATGTTCTGCAGCAATCCAGCAATTCTGCCTCTTTGCTGTGCCAAAACTAACTACATTGGTAGTAGAGCACCTTCCTTTTTGGCAGGCACCATCATTGATTGCACTGCTAAAATATACAAAACTCAAAGAAGTGCATCAACAGAGTTAACAAAATTACCAAAATACTTCTACAGTAATGTACAAGCTGTTTTCAGTATTATTCTGTCTCACTCTAAGTGCTGCTTAAAAGTTCCTTGCACTTTTATACTGTTTCTACCAAAGCAAAATGCTCCAATAGTAGAGACATACACTCACAAAGTTCTATCCCCTGCTGCAGGGTCAAAGGTTCTCAGTGGAAAAGAAATGTTTCAGTCTCTACAAAGGCAAGTGGGAAAAGTAATGAGGACAGAACCAGGTCAAACAGCTAGCAGAGGCAAAAAAGCAAAGAAAGGAAATGAAATAAAAGCCGTGAGAATAGAGCAAAAAGAACAATCTAGGATTAGTAGAAGATAACCCATATGTTGTGAAGGCTGACAGAAAAAGCTGGAATTAGTGGCTAGAGTTAGAAGAGGCACTGAAGTCAATGCCGCAAGAAGGTATATGGTTTTCCAAGGATGTAGTAGCTTCAGACCCTAAGTCCTGTCCCTGCGCAAGAAGACAACTAATACAACTTTGTCCATGATCAATGGTCTTTTACTTGGTCTTTCACTGCAATCCTACATATCTGTACCTGTCCTATGTAAGTCCTCGGGGGGGGGGGGGGGGGGGGACTCCAGCAGTTGCAGAAGAGTCAGGCCTAGCCATGCAAAAAGGTAATCCCAAAACTGAGGGTTGTTTTATAGTAGCAAAGTCACAAATATTTCAAAATCAAGCACTGGAAGCAAGCAGTCATAATGAACTTGGCCAAAGAAGTGAACATTTTAAACCAGACTAGAGGTCAGAAATTTCATGAAATAAATGCATACAAAACCACACATAATCCACAATAAAATAAACAATGCAATCAATACTCCTAATAGGAATAAAGTATATGGCCCCCATGAAAAGAAATATAAGGCTCTTTCAGACGGGCCCTATATGCCAGGATCTGATCCCAGGTTTTCTGTTTATCCCAGATTATCTGGAAGTGCGGACTCATATAATCCAGTTTAAAGCAGAAAACCTGGGATCAGATCCTGGGATATAGGGCCTGTCTGGAAAGGCCCATAGACACACAAATGCCAGAACTACAAACAGGACACTGAGCTGATCACTTCAGCTTCAGCTCAGACCCAAATGAGCCCAATATAGTCCAGGGGTCAACCTGCCAGGGTTGCTAACCTGGGAGTGGGAGTATTAAATGGACAACTCCAGGTTTACAACATTACCTCTCCATCTTTTGCCATGAGATGCAGCACTGCACTGGTGAACAAGAAGTACAGAGAATGAAATCCCTGAAAGCAAAAGCATTCGTTTTTCAATGGAAATCTGGTTTGGACAGTCTTGTTCTGAAGGTCCCTTCCAGACAGGCTCTGTATCCCAGGATCTGATCCCAGGTTTTCGGCGTTAAACTGGATTATATGAGTCCGAAATGCCAGATAATCTGGGATAAACAGAAAACCTGGGATCAGATCCTGGGATATAGGGCCTGTCTGGAAGGGCTCTGAAGGGTCTTAAGATCCTGTTAGGTTCAAGCTATCATGGCCTGAACCCAATGTATCCATCACTGAGGCTGGCTCACCCACTTGTTTAGTTTCTTACTGTGCCTGTGTCCTGACAGCTGCTCAACATACAAGTTGCAACACAAACAATGAAATAATTTAAACATTACTTACAGTATTCATCTGATAGTAAGCTGGACCCAAGGTACTGTCTCTTGAAGGAGGGGTATGCCTCATAAGAGTGCCATCACCCAACTCTTCATAACCGTATGCTTGTCCCTGCGAAGGGATAGAGGGAGCTTCTGTCTTCCGGAAGACTTTGATACTGTTTGCAAGTTTCTGCAGAAACAGATTCCATTATCTATGTTACAAACATGGCATGCTCTTTTAAACAGTCAACATAATATGAGCTTGTTTGTGTCTGGTGGAACTTAATTTGCAAAATATATTTAACTCTTTTCAAGGCAAGAGAGGAAATTGGCCCATGAATTATTCGAATTTAACACTTTCCTCCCCAAATCTTCACCCTTGTGTATAGCTTGCCTTCCCACTGGATAGAGTGGTGAAAAAATGCTGCCGCTAATATAGAAACCTCATTGACTTGCCCCACAGGAGAAATTAGTAATTCAATGCTGTTACTATCTCCAATCTGAGATGGTCCCTACCACACTCCCTTGTTCCAATGGGCACATGTTATCTCCAATATGAGATGAGAAATAGGAAAAAAAATCTCTGTGTAGACCAGGCATAGGCAAACTTTGGTCCTCCAGATGCTTTGCACTTCAACTCCCGCAATTCCTACTTCAACACCTGGAGGGGGAAATGATATCTGAGTGGATGTCGTCCTGGATACCAATGGAAAACAAGACAACGCTTGAGACTTCTGTCGGGAAGCAATAAAAGTAGATGGCTGAAGAAAATCACATTAATAAATACAATGGTTATTGTATCTAGAGTCACTGGAGAAAGTATATTCATTAAAAACTTGAGTGCCACAAACCCTCCAAAAATAATCTGAAACCAGTTTAAATTTCTTTGCACTGATGCCCCACTGCTTCATTATTTCTGAAAAACAGAGTCATGCTTAGAGAGTTTATTAATACTTAAGTATATGTTAGCATTAGTCTACTTGCATTATCATTTTGAAAGCATAATAATCATGATAGTTAAGGATCTCAATATGTGAAGATTAATAAGGTTTAATTATAAATCTCTTCACACATCAGTATTTCTTTGCATGAAAATAAGCATCTAGATTTTCAGCTCGTTGGTTTCTTAAGAGTAGGAGTAAACAAAATGAAAAATGTGCTCCAAATCATAGGCAAGCTTTAGTTTAGTTCTCAATTAGTTCTCTCTCCCCCCCCCCCCTTTTCTCACCCGGAGTTTTTAAATCATTTTATGTACATGCGGCCCGCCCTTTGTCTGTCTGTCATTATGCTTAGTTCCTATGTTTTGTGTATATTGTTTTATATGCTTTGATGTTTTATATTTATGTTATGTTGTTTATTTGATTGCAATTTGTATTGTTATATTGTAATTCTTGTTCGGGCTTGGCCCCATATAAGCTGCTCCGAGTCCCCTTTGGGGAGATGGTGGCAGGATACAAATAAAGTGTATTACTATTATTATTATTATTATTATTATTATTATTATTATTATTATTATTATTCAAAGCATCTCCTGAAACCGGGTTCAAAAAACACTGGGATGTAGGTCCCAAAATAATGAATGACTATATTTAACTACTGTATATAACTGAGTATAAGCTGACCCGAATATAAGCCAAGCGAATATAACCTAATTTTACCACAAAAAGCTAGGAAAACGTATTGACTCAAGTTTACGCCGAGGGTGGGAAATGCAGCAGCTACTGGTAAATTTCAAAATAAATATAGATACTAATAACATTAAACGAATTACACTAATCAGTAGGTTAAATGTAAAATAATAAATGTAATAAAAATAATAAGAGTAAAATAATGAAAATGTAATAACAACAATAATAATAGAGTAAAATAATAAATGTAATAAAAATAATAAGAGTAAAATAATGTACATATAATAATAATAATAACAATAATAGAGTAAAATAATAACTGTAATAATAATAATAGAGTAAAATAATAAATAACATTGGTTCGAGTATAAACTGAGGGGGTCTTTTTCAGCCTTTAAAAAAGGGCTGAAAAACTCGGCTTATACTCAAGTATATATGGTATATCATTACTAAAGGAGATTTGCACATTACTTTAAGGGTTAGCTGTATTTTAGAAAATCCTGTCCATGTTTAAATATACATTAAAATATACTGTGAAAAAGAAACTATACGTATATGGAGTCAAGATCCCAGAATAACAAATGTTTGTGTTTTTTTTAATTAGACACAAGAGATGCAATGAAGAAAGGCATTTTTTATGAGCAAGGAATATTTTAATGTGACTTTTTCCATTTGTAAAAAGAGATTTACCTGAACTGCATTACACATTATTTCTGAACCCCTGTAGATCAATGCATCCCTATAAAGACAGAAGCAAACTATATCTCCTAAAGGAGGCATAGAAAATGCCTTGATCTGAAAATACAGCTTGTGATATAGCACAATCGCTAGAGACCGGCTGAAAAAAAGTCCAGTCATTTATATTGATCTAATGTACATTTTTGTCTACATAGGCAACCCATGTACATGTCATATCTTTTTATCTTGCAGCTTGATCCAACTTTGGAGATATCATATGCTATTCTAAAGGTAACACCCCACGCAACAAGACATGAGAACCAAATGTATAGCTAGCAGATCTGGAATAAAAAACATGGATCTAAGAGAATTATTTACAAAATGACATGCTTCATGTGTCTGTGTATCTGTGCAAGAGAGAAAGAAATTTACATGCTTTTGATTTAACCGAGATGTCATGCGGACTGTAAGATGAATAGTAAACTTTGGTATCTCCAGTTCTTGACAACTAAAACTGTGAGATACTGCAAGATCCAGGTGAAATGTGCAACATTAACACTCAAATAATGATAGATCTGGACCAAACTTGGCAACTGGACCAAACTATAAATTCCAGCAACTACAACTCCCAAATGTCAAGGTCTATTTTCCCCCAAATTCCACCAGTGTTCACATTTGGGCACATTGAAGATTCATGCCAAGTTTGGTCCAGATCTATCATTATTTGAGTCCACAGTGCTCTCTGGATGTAGATGAACTACAACTCCAAAACTCAAGGTTAATGCCCACCAAATCCTTCGAATATTTTCTGTTTGTTGTTCATAGGAGTTCTGTTTGCCAAGTTTGGCCCAATTTCATCATTGGTGGAGTTCAGAATGCTCATTGATTGTAGGTGAACTATAAATCCCAGCAACTGCAACTCCCAAATGACAAAATCAAATGTGGGTGTATCGGGTATTTGTGCCAAATTTGATCTAGTGAATGAAAATACATCCTGCATATCAGATATTTACATTACGATTCACAACAGTAGCAAAATTACAGTTATGAAGTAGCAATGAAAAGAATTTTATGGTTCTGGGTCACCACCACATGAGGAACTACTAAGCAGCTGCAGCATTAGGAAAGTTGAGAACCACTGACATATATCTTCCCCCATTTCATCAGCCACCACCTGCTTGCTGCATGGTGAATCAGCAATGTATCAGGTGGCTAGGCCTCAGTTTTTGCTTCTATTTGCCATGCAAGATTCTAGTGTATATGCAAATTCTGACAAGATTCTCCTTCCTAATCAAGCAATTTTTAAAGTTACTCTGTTTGAATTTGCAGAAGACAAACCTCGTTATCATGTTGTCATGTACACATCTTTTCTACACAAAACACTGATGGAGGAAAAAGTCATACAGGAAGCATTCATCACTACTATTAGTCAATATAAGCCACAGAAATATGGCTGAGGATTTCTTTTCTTCTAACATACCTGTGCAGCAGTTACTTGAGCTGATCTTTTCGGCTTTATGATATCCTGAGCCATTGAATGAGATTCGTCATATGTTCCAGGTCCAGGAGTATGAGTTTGGATATCTCTGAAACGTTTCTCTTTATTCTGAAGACTTTGCCCTCCTTTAATAGCTTTCTGGTGGGAAGAAAATTTAAAAGAAAATAGAACATGAGGATGCTTATATAAGGCTACCCATCTACATGGCATACAATAAAAAAGAGAAGTCAAGATCTTACAAAAAGATTATACAATCAAGAAAATAAATACTGTACTAGTGGGTCAGCAGACGAATGGTAGAAAAGGTACAACTACTGTGTGGTAAGATCATATTGGGAATGGCTGACAGCACATCGGAAGATAAGGATTACAACACACACAAAAGCTCTAGTTAGACCCAGCTCATTTCAACACTCAAGCAACAAGAAACTACTACTTACCATAAAATACAATATAATAATAATAATAATAATAATAATAATTTTATTACCCGCCTGTATCCAGCTTGAGGCAGGATACAACATCATTAAAATAAGAGATAAAACACTATTAAGACATACAACAAAATACAGAGTTAAAATACAAATTAATATCCACTGATAGAGTGCAGATTAAAATTCACAATTTAAAATTGATTGGGTAGGCCTGCCAGAAGAGATGAGTCTTTAATTGTCTCTTAAATTCCAACAGCTGATCTAACTGTCTGAGCAATTCCAGCAGGTAACTTCAGGGTCTTGGGGCAGCTAATGAAAAGGTCATCTGGGTAACGGTTGCCAGTTAGGTTCTGTTAGGCTAAAGTAGGCCTCCTGAAATCTCAAAGAATCTATTAGCCTTTGAGGGAGGACCATTTTAATAGATCTTCCACCCCTGTAGGAGTAGGTTGTAGCTGTAATACTAGCCCTGACTAGAAGGTGATCTGTCTATGACAACTCAGAGGTATTGATCATCTCCACTCACAGATCTGTATGTTCTGAGCTGAAAACCACATCCAGGGTATGAACTTCTGAATTTGTAGGTCCAGAAACCTACAAATAGGCCCATGTTTGTCATGAATATCATAAATACCAGAGCTGCCTCGACAAACTGGCCTCCAGTGGTACGTTGAAGTTATTCAGAAGCAAAAGTCTGGGCAACTCCAACATTTCCGAGACCAGTTCCATGAGCTTGGCCAGGAAGTCTGTTAGGCAGCAGGATGAACAGTACACTAACATAATCCCTAGTCTAACTCTAGTTTTCAAACTCAGGTACACACATTCAATGTGATTCAGCTCTCTACTTCACACACAGCATAACGAAAATGATACCTCTGTGTATCATCTGGTGGGAAACCCAAGGATGATGCTGTTGAACTCATATCCTTCTTTGGATTTCTTGGATTAACACAAGCAATTTATGATTACTGTCCAAAATGCTGGACTACACAAGTTTAATGACAGATGTCTCTTCTTTGGTATGATTCAGCATGGGGAATCATGTGCCTTTGGATTCCTGCATTAAGCTTTTACTAACAAATGTCAACAAATGAACT